ACATGTGCACATATAGGTGGCATGCACGTAGACGGATGCGCACACATGCAATGGATGCTTTTCAAGATGAAAAGAGAAGAAATTTCGATTATATTGTGAACAATACGACCACGGGAAAACACCCATGGTCGTAATGAACATACCAAAATCACGTTTAAAGAGAATATTAAATATTTCGAATAATAAAATAAATTCCAAAATATAACCACGATATTTCAACCATTGGTAAGCATGCATGCAACATGGAAACGCTCTTCATCATAAGATTATGAAGAAATTCCGAGCACCCAAATGATCGTCTTCAAATGGAGTCAATATTCAGAACAACTCACAATGCCATGTGTTTTACTATACTTCCCCATGCTGGTCAGCCCCATACAGGTGTATTAATCAGTAAAACATACGACATGCACATTCTGTGGGGAGATGCTATGAAACAAAAATTGTGTTTAATCTGCTTTTTTCATTTTCAACAGTATTAGGAGTCAAATTTAGCCAAATTAAGTACAGAACCAAAATATTATTCATTGGGTTTTTTTGTGCACTCATTGGCGACCAGGCTGAGACCACCAACTCATTACGCTGTGGTTGGGCGGCTGTAATCTGGATTTGATCCTGGCATCTCAGTAGTGCTGGCACAGCCTTTCTGACCCCTGGGGCACCCAGCCACCTCCCAGAATGCACTTATTTAATGGCCCATTTCCTTGACGTTCAGATCGCACTCTGAATAAAAACGCAACACATTCATCTAAAACGATGCACTCAATAGGGCAGAACATCTAAAAGGTGACGTTTCAGGCAATGGGCCTTCTTTACAGCAGAGAACTCAAAGCAATATCCATTGCAGTCTTATTGACGAATATGTTAAGGTTTTGTTATCCCTGCTTGTGCGCCATGCAGCTTCACAACGAGAACACGTTTAATTTTAGCCACGCTCCGTGCAACAAGGGGACGGAGGGGGGTTGGTGGCGGCCACGGTACCTCCTCAGCACGGTGGATCTCTAGTTGGTGTAGCATCTCGTGGAGGCTCTTATCCTTCCGGCTCAGTGCGCCACGCAGGGTGTTGAAGTGCGCTCGTGCCCTGCTCAGATTGCCCCGCAGGTTCGACACCTCCCGGGACAGCTGGTGCATTTCGTTCTCTGGCATTGGCAACTGCGACGAGAGCAAGGGCACATGGCATGGGCACGTTAGCTCCTCCCAGTGTAAATCCTGCCTTCATTCGCATCATGACGGACGCCATTTGACATCGGATAGTGGAGACAACACCATGGCACATGGCAAGTGAAGTGCCTAATAAACAGGTAGACACACAAAGGACAGATGCGTTGACACCCACACACCCACGCAAGGCAACACCACGATTCCCCACACAGCCTAAACACAGTGGTAGAATGCGCAGCAGCATTGGTGTCAGAAACGCACCCACCGCTATCTCTGTTTATATTCGCTCAGCCAATGAGAGTGATGAACGCTGAGGCAACCAGCAACCAACCCCGGCGATTCAATTATGACGATATATGGTCACGAGTATATTTTAAAAAATCGATAATTTTGTCAACGTTACTACAATATTTGTTATTCAGTTTTATCACAGTACGTTCTGAGCCACACAGTTTTTAAAAGACACCCTGGTCCGCCGACGTGTTTGCTCCTTCCTTGGTCTCTCTTTGCCTTATTTTCATATTTATTGCGAGCATCTTAGCCCCGTGTTTCAAGTCTGCTTTATGTTCACGGATGCGGTCCAATGTAGCTGCTACCACAGAGGCAACTTAGTTTGTAGACGCCCGGGTACTGTATGTCTGGAACCACATCTTTTACAGACAGAACCAGATCACGGATTTTATGTACTGTGTTGAATCGGACCTGGATCTTGTGTTTATTCAGGATTTTGGAGATGTTTTTTGTGGCCCCCGCAATGTAGGGTAAAGTGATGGTTTTGAATGGCTCCTCAAGAGGATCCTTCTTCATGGTGGGATTGATGGCTTTGCGGATTGTGTAGTCAGAGTAACCATTAGCCTTGAGAACTTGGTGTACGTGCTTGAGTTCACTAGCAATGTGTTCCTGGTCGGAAATGGATTGGGCTCTATGGTATAGAGTCTACTGTATGTCTGGACATATCTCGGACCGCATCCGTGAACATGAAGCAGACTTGAAACATGGTAGGACGAACACCTCAGCCATGGCAGACCACTGTTATAATTCAGTGGGCTCACATGACATTGACTTCTCCAAGACAGAGGTTCTCTGCAAGCCATCCGGCTACCATGAGAGATTCGTTCATGAGGCTATCCACATATACAAACACAGAGACAATTTCAACCAAGAAGATGGATTCCGGCTTAGTAACTATTGGAAAGACGTTATAAACCGTTTGCAATAACCACAACACAAGCAGTCAAAATGCAACCAAAAGAGACAACTCCTTAGTTTCCTTATTCACCAAAGTTCCTGTACCTGACACCATCACAATCATTGAAGACTTGGTTCATCAAGGACTAAACACTGAGGTACCCCCCCTGGTGAGACACTGCTTAACCAATACATACTTCACTTGGAATGGAACTTTCTACAAACTGAGGGCACCCCAATGGGCTCCCCCCTATCTCCGGTTATAGCAAACATTTTCATGGAGAAATCTGAGACTGACGCCATCCAAACTGCCACTCTGCGCCCAACCTTATGGAAGAGGTACGTGGATGACACTTTTGTCATCTGGCCACATGGCCAGCCTGCTCTAGACTAATTCTTCGACCACATCAATTCCATACACCCAGCCATCAGATTTACCATGGAAGTTGAAAAATATGGCAAGCTACCTTTTTTGGATGTCCTAATTAAAAAGAGACCTGATGGTTCAATGAGCCACTCTGTCTTCAGGAAAGCTACCCATACGGATGCTTATCTGAAACCGGATTCCCACCACCATCCATCACAGAAGAATTCTCTCATGAAGACTCTGTACCATAGAGCCCAATGCATATCCGACCAGGAACACATAGGCAGTGAACTCAAGCACGTACACCAAGCTCTTAAGGCTAATGGTTACTCCGACTATACAATCCGCAAAGCTATCACTCAAACCATGAAGAAGGACCCTCTTGAGGAGCCTTTCAAAACCATCACTTTACCCTACATTGCGGGGATCACAAAAAAGATCTCCAAAATCTTGAATAAACACAAGATCCAGGTCCGTTTCAACACAGTACATAAAATCCGTGATCTGGTTCCGTCTGTAAAAGATGTGGTTCCGGACATACAGTAACCTGGTGTCTACAAACTAAGTTGCCTCTGTGGTAGTAGTTACATTGGAGAAACCAAACGCCATGTCTCGGACCGCATTCGTGAACACAAAGCAGACCTTAAACACAGTAGGACCAACACCTCGGCCATGGCAGATCATTGTTATAATTTAGTAGGCTCACATGACATTGACTTCTCCAAGACAGAGGTTCTTTGTAAGCCATCTGGCTACCATGAGAGATTCGTTCATGAGGCTATCCACATATACAAGCACAGAGACAATTTCAACCGAGAAGATGGATTCTGGCTTAGCAATCATTGGAAGGATTTGATAAACCATTTCAGGTCTTAATTGATTGTTCAAGCTTACAGTGGCTTTCAGACAGCATACATTATAAAAAATTTCGTCTCCCCCCTCCTCTTTTCAGAATATAGATGGACTAGTCCTAAATAAACTGCCAAATCGTTGCGCGTGGCGCTAACGTTTTTTTTTTTTATAAATAAATAATAAAAGCACACAGTTTAAAAATAAATAAATAAATGCGGACCACCACTTCTTTCAAATGTTTCTTGCCGTTGCTTTTCACACCTGATGATGACCGTTTGTGTTATGGTCGAAACGTCGTGAGAATTTTTATTGTTATATATATTTTATTATTTTATTGTTTCCCTTCAACGTGACTTTACCGAAAGAGCTAAGAATATGAATTACTGCAGTCACGAAAGCTTTAAATAAAAAAATAGATGGACTCGTCCGTCTGAACAAAGCTCGTCGCTCTCCGTGGTTCTAATCCCTCACACCAACATCATGCTAATCCCCCAGTTACATGCTAATTTATATGTAAACTCCTCTCCCCCCTCCTCCGGTCCGAGCTCGTCGCTCTCCGTGGTGCTCACCCCTCACACCAACATCATGCTAATCCCCCAGTTACATGCTAATTTATATGTAAACTCCTTTGTCAAGGCGTTCTGTTCCTCCCACAGCTTAAAAGACGCTGTCAAGCTTGGCAGGGTTCACTCAAGTGCTGTCTTCCGGACAGTCCTGTTTCTTCACCTGAGGAAGGCTACTTGTGTTGTGGCCGAAACGTCGTGAGAATTTCATTCTGTTATTATTTTTATTATTTTATCTCCATTCTACGTGACTTTACCGAAAGAACCCAGATGATCCCTGCAGTCACGAAAGCTTTAAATCGAGTCGTAACATATATTACAGTGGCGACGTCATTGGCTCCACCCTATGTGGGCGGAGCCAAACCTATATAGGCGGAGCCTATGGCTCGTCCTTATTGCGTCACCAAATGCCGCGTGACTCCCAGGCACAGCTGCTGGGCAACGGCAGTTGGCCCGAGATGCTGTCACCATGGCAACGCAAACAAGGATCAACTGCCAAGAGAAAGCTCCTTCCGACTAAAATCCTTGATGAAACTCACAAATCTGCGATATTAAACTATGCACCTCATTATCTACGTATCAAGCGTTCAATATTAAAGTGAAACTTAACAAAAAAAATCTATTTTTTCTCGATGTGATCACAGTATTTATTTCGTATAACTCCGATGCCACTGACAGGCAAGAGGTGGCGCCACTCACCTCCACTGTTGACGAATTCGGAGTCTCGACCGTCGCTTGCGACTGCTGCGCTCTCTTGAAGAACCTCATGGCTCCTGTTGGCGGCGCAAGAGATAGATAGAAGCAACCGCTCAGCTCGCTCGCCCTGTTGGAACGACGTCAAAGCCGGAGGTGACGTTGTTAGCCCCGCCTACCGTGGGCGGAGCCAGATCACGTGACCCCCAGGCACCCAATGAGGCAGAGGAAGCTCCCTCCGACTCAACGTCTGCGATTTGAGACTAGGAGCCTCCTCGCCCACGTGTCGAGAGTTCAATGCTTCAGTGCAAGTTACTCGAGGCGACTGTATGGTCTTGGTGTGGTCCTTTGGCTGTCGGTGTTGGTGTTTTGCCATCTTGCCCAAGCTTGGATATGATGTTGACAAATCTACAGGAAGGTATGTACTGTACAGTTTGTTTTTGCACTACATATTTATTTGTGACTTGATTACATTTTCTCAATCCTTACTCTAGTATCCTTTATTACATTTTGTTGTTGATGCAACTGGCTGATCCGCCCTTCTGGACGTGTGAAAGAGAACTTCAAGCTCATGAGATCCCTCTAGGATAAATACGCGCACGCGTGTAGATAGATGTAGCAGACACGAATAATTGACTATAATTCCGAATGTATTAAGTACTTCATTCAATGTTTCGTCACAAATCAAACATCGAGCATAAGCAGCAAATATGCAACACTCCTGAGACGGGCACCTCCCTTACCGACCTCACCTCGTCCTCACCCCTCACCTCGTCCTCACCCTTCACCTCATCCTCACCCCTCGCTTCGTCTTCCTCACCCCTCGCCTCGTCATCTTCACCCCTCACCTCGTCCTCTTCACCCGTCGTCCTCACCCCTCACCTCATCCTCCTCACCCCTCACCTCGTTCTCCTCAACTCGTCCTCCTCACCTTTCACCTCGTCCTCCTCACCTCGTCCTCACCTCGTTCTCCTCACCCTGTCCTCCTCACCCCTCTGCTCGTTATCTTCACTCCTCACCTCGTTCACCTCACCTCATCCTCCTCACCTCATCCTCCTACCCTCTTCGTAACAGACACGTATAATATTTGTTTTACCTATATAAATGTCATGTTTTGTGTGTTCACGCGCTTGCGAGAGATTTGGCTCTCAAACGGTGGGGTTCACGTAAACAAAAATTCGCCAGGTACCACGCCGGAAGCCCCGTGCTTGGCATAGGATATTCCTTTTTCACGTCCGTCACCTTAAAATTAGTTAAATTAGCGGGTTTTTGCCGATTTTTCTTCATTTAAATACAGTATTTAGTTTCGCGCTTATTTATTTATTTCCCTTCGCCGCGCGCTGGCTGACAACGCAGCCCGCTGTACCCGCGCTTACCCCCTAGCAATCCACACGCGCCATCGCCAAAGGTAAGTCGCACACTTTTGTATTATATGCATTTATACACACATTAGTATTATAAGCATTTATGTAATTACACTTGGCACTGCTCACATGGGTTGCCCCTAGCAACCCAAACACGATGGGCACACATTTTTATTCGCCTTAAACATGCAGCAAAAAACACACGGAACACGTCAATTCTTCACAGTGCGATGTCCTCTTCTCCCCACCTCACCCAATGCGTCCTGAAACTACTATAGGGCCCCTACATATGATCATTTTAACGCTTACATACCATTATTGTAGCGCAGCCGGGGGGAGCGGCCCTGCCCCCAGCCTGCCAAGGTCACACCTCGGCGGGCAGGGAAATCTAGGCGAGGCCCGGGGGCTCTGCACGGGACTAGGCCTCACACACCTAGCCCTGACGCGCCTAGCCCTCACGCGCCTAGCCCTAACACACCTAGCCTTACCCCACACCTACCCCGAACACACATCTATCCCTAACACACATCTACCCCTAACACACATCTACCGCTACCTCTAACACACCCATACCCCTAAAACACCCCTACACCTACCCCGACCTGCGGCCCGCAGTTTAAGAGCGAGGTGCTGGACACGAGCCTGCACCTGCTGCGCTCTATGGCCTGGGGGGGGGAGAGGAGAGACCCCGTGGCCGTGGTGCGAACCGTGTCGGCGCTGGTGATAGGATCGACACGAAAAAAAGACAAAGATCCCCCGTATAGCTCTAACAGACTGTTGTGCCAAGTGCTGTTAGCGACGACCTTTGAAGGCAGGCGCGGCACACGCGGGGGTGGGTTGCCAGCACCACACGCGGCAGCTTTTGTCTCTCGAGTGGCAATATTTATACATCGCAACAGGTACTCATTTGAGGCTGAGTCGACTTAGGGGAAGCCCAGCATCGGCTCAGATAATCGTCACTGGTGTTGGCCGTGCAGCAGGAATCGAACTGGGGTCGGTGGGTTTGTAGCGCATCACACAAACCGCGAAATTACCGCTCCCCATTACAAACCCACACAGAGACACACATATGCAGAGAGAGGCTGAGGCGCTTGCCATGACGACTGAATATCGTTTGTCGATTGTTTATAAATGGAAAGGGGAAGAGGGGAGTCCAGAACAGGAGAGGGACCGTTTGACCAACCAAATGGCCATAGGCAATGGACTCGTGGAGGGGGGCGGGTGAGGGGGCGACTGAGTCCTCTTGCGCAGTTGACTTGTGGATTGACAGATGCACAGATGAATATGATAGCGCATTAATTAATGAGTGTACAGCTGGACAGCAAATGAATGAACAAGATTCTTTATCGCCATTGAAAAAGAACTAACATTGTAATCAATCACCCTATACGCCTGCTGAACCAACATATCCTACAGCAGCACATGAGTATGTTTCATAGGTTACCTGGGTATTCTTAGTTTTTTCGGTAAAGTCACGTTGAAGGGAAACAACAAAATAATAAAATATATAAAACAATAAAAAATTCTCACGACGTTTCGACCATAACTCAAACGGTCGTCTTCAGGTGTGTTGGTTTGCATAAATTTATTTTTAAACGGCGCATTTATTTATTTATAAAAAAACGTTAGCGCCACGCGCAACGATTTGGCAGTTTATTTAGGACTAGTCCATCTATATTCTGAAAAGAGGAGGGGGGAGACGAAATTTTTTATAATGTATGCTGTCTGAAAGCCACTGTAAGCTTGAACAATCAATTAAGACCTGAAATGGTTTATCAAATCTTTCCAATGATTGCTAAGATAGAATCCATCTTCTCGGTTGAAATTGTCTCTGTGCTTGTATATGTGGATAGCCTCATGAACGAATCTCTCATGGAAGCCAGATGGCTTACAAAGAACCTCTGTCTTGGAAAAGTCAATGGCATGTGAGCCTACTGAATTAGAACAATGATCTGCCACGGCCGAGGTGTTGGTCCTACCGTGTTTAAGGTCTGCTTTGTGTTCACGAATGCGGTCCGAGACATGGCGTTTGGTTTCTCCAATGTAACTACTACCACAGAGGCAACTTAGTTTGTAGACACCAGGGTATTGTATGTCCGGAATCACATCTTTTACGGACGGAACCAGATCACGGATTTTATGTAATGTGTTGAAACGGACCTGGATCTTGTGTTTATTCAAGATTTTGGAGATCTTTTTTGTGATCCCCGCAATGTAGGGTAAAGTGATGGTTTTGAAAGGCTCCTCAAGAGGGTTCTTCTTCATGGTTTGAGTGATAGCTTTGCGGATTGTATAGTCGGAGTAACCATTAACCCTAAGAGCTTGGTGTACGTGCTTGAGTTCACTGCTTTTATATATATTATATATTTTATTATTTTGTTGTTTCCCTTCAACGTGACTTTACCGAAAAAACTAACAATATGAATTACTGCAGTCACGAAAGCTTTAAATCAAAATGTAGGTTACCTGGGTGTTTGTTTCTTATGTATGATCGGTATGCGCTCTACGCACGATCCATATGTGATATCAAACAAGATATTTGGTGGCTTTCCGAATGATCTGCACGTATTTCACGCATGATATTTATGTTTCACACGTGTTCTGTGTGGGTGGCCGGGACCACCCTCGGCCGCCTTTGTCTCCCGATTTGCGATGTGTACACATTGCACCAGATAGTCATTTAAAGCCGACCTCTGGAGATCCAGGACCGGTTCAGATTATCGCCACTGGTGATGGTGGCCGTAAGCAGGAATTGGGTCATTGGATTCATCATAGTGCAGCTATCTGAACCCACACGCTCACAGATAGGACTGCAACTCATCCACCTCGCGCATCTGTGCCAGGAACTTCCAATCGTGGAGCGACGCGCGAATGAAGCGACCCGACCTCCCATCGGGATATGATGGCTGGCAGGTGGTTGAAGCTATCCCGCAGGAAGCGAGCGCAGGTAATGCTCACCTGAGCGTCGCGAGGCGTGCCCCGCAGGTGGTATCACATGGGACAATGCGTCCACGTCATGGCCCTTTCACGATTCCGCTGCTGTATGGGGACCTCCCCACCACCACGACCTAGTGGATCATTGACCATACTTCACCACGCTGGTCGGTGCGGGTTGGTTGCAGGCGTGGCAAGCGGGGCACTATGCAAGGGTTCATGTTGCTGTACTGCCCCTTTAATGACCACGTGGCCCTTGCGAGATTCATTCAGCGAGTGCGCAATCGCCGAGCCATCCAACAGCGCCCCCGGTTTGCCACGTGCAGCTGTCGTAGACGATGACAACAAACACGCACCCTGCTCTACGAAGCCTGACAGTGGTCATGATGATGGTGGTTCGTGTGGTAACTCCCCATCAGATAAACAAAAACTAAACAATTTTTTTAATTTTACCCAGAAAAGGTCAATGAGCTATATAGGTGTTTCTCAGAAGCGACCTGGCTATCACAAATGATAGCTCAACGAAGTGGCTTATCACGTGTAAATGTATTTCAGCCTCGATATCACAGCCAAATACAAACCCTCTGAGGGTAACCATGAGCCCGGGCAGCAGGGGGGAAGTGGGCAGATGGTAAGGGGCCAAGGAGCAAGGGGAGGATGGAGAAGGGCAGCGGGGAGTCGGTCAGTGGCGCGGAATGTTCAAGTGATGCAATATGTTGACTGATTTTGATTGAATACAACTAGAACAATTTACAAGTGTGCGTTGATCGATATGATGTTGATTAGAATATTTAACGATAATTATATTGAGATTAGGATATGTAGGAGATAGTGATGATAATGCTAATGTCTTTACGCATGGTGATGGTAGGGAACTATCAATCTGGTGATGGCTGGGGAAGTTGAATATAATGATGATAGTGCTGCTACTAAGTGGTGGTACTTCAGAGGATGATTACGATACTGCGACTATTGCTTTAGCTGCTGAAATAATAATGATGCTGCATCTGCTGCTGACGATGATGATGCCCCTCCCTACCCACCCTTTTCCACCCCGCAGGTTCCGAGGAGGAGCGCCATGTGGTGGTGTAAGCACTCAGCCTGCTGAAGCGCGGGAGTGCAGATCGGCGACCCCACGAGGTGGAGACAGGAGGGTCAGGGTCCCCCCAGGGGGAAAACGTAAGCGGCGTAGGGGGTGCCTTGGCGGGGTCGAGAGGGCAGGAGACGCAGCGGATATTGGCAGGGCTCTGGATGTACGCTGCATTCTAAACTCCGATGGGCACCTGATTGTATCCCCCGGCGGGGACCCTATTGGGGTCCCACCACCCCCTGAGGTGACTCTGACAGTGCGGGTTCTTGAGGAGACTGCGCTGGGCCGAGAGTTAACGTCCGAGGTGTGCGTGGCGAGAACACGCACGCGACTCCGCGTGCGTGTGCGGGCCACGTACACGGGCGCCAACCTGGGTGGGTTCGGTGAGGAGGAGGCCCCTCCTGGAGCTGGGACTGCACGAGGGTGAGACGGAAGGAGGGAGATGGGGAGGGAGAGAATGAGGGCAATTATACGAGTATTATGCTCTTTGGTTCTTTCGGTAAAGTCACGTAGGTATAAAATAAAATAAGTCACGACGTTTCGGGCACAACACAAGCGTCCGTCATCAGGTGGGAAAGCATGGTCTGCTGCTGAGGCAGACTGTTTTAAAAGGTTTGAAATGGGTGTAGCCCAAGGGTCATAAAGAAGTGGCCAGGGCTAGTGATGTTAATGTGATAAATTAGCGTGTAACTGTAGAAAAGGAGAGCGGCCTCCTCGACGAGGGAGTGCAACCCAACGGGTGTAATCCAAAGGGCCTGTGAGTATTGAGAGTGCAATCCAAATGCATGAGAGTGCAATGCAATGGACATATGAGCATGAGAGATCTAAGAGAGAGGCATAGAGAGACAGAGTCGAAGTAACAGCTGACATAGGCAGGTAGGATGGAAACATCACAGTCAGTTAAGACTTTACCTGGTTAATAACGTCCTTCCTTTCATGCTCACATGTCTTTTGGATTGCACTCTCATACTCACAGGCCCTTTGGATTACACCCGTTGGGTTGCACTCCCTTGTCGAAGAGGCCGCTCTTCTTCTTTTCTACAGTTACATGCTAATCTCTCACATTAACATCACTAGCCCCGGCCACTTCTTTATGACCCTTGGGCTACACCCATTTCAAACCTTTTAAAACAGTCTGCCTCAGCAGCAGACCATGCTTTCCCACCTGATGACGGATGCTTGTGTTGCACCCGAAACGTCATGATTTCTTTTATTTTATACCTACGTGACTTTACCGAAAGAAGCAAAGAGTATGGATTCCTGCTGTCACGAAAGCTATAAATCAAGAATGAGTATTATAGTTTCGTGCACTTGTGTGCATGCGTGTATATGAACGGTAGTGTAGTGGTTAGCGCTCTGCTATGAACCCGGGGACCCAAGTTCTATTCCCACTCATGGCCAACACCAGTGACGATTTTCTCAACCGGTCCGGGGCCTCTTCCTCTAGGTCGACGCAGCCTCAAATGACTGCCGGATGCGGTGTGTAAACATCGCCACTGGAGGGAAAAAGGCAGTCGGGGTTGGTGCTGGCCACCCACCACCTCGTGTACTGTCCCAGCCTTCATAGATGCTCGCTAACAGCACTTTCCCCAACAGTCTGTTTGAAGGCTCTACGAGGGAACGTTTGTCTTTGTTGTCCGGCACAGAGCGGCGCGTGCTGGTGCGCGTGCCAGCGAGCGAGTACCTCCGCCTGGCCGTGGACCACTTCTCGCTCGTGCTGGTGGCGTGCATGTGCGTACCCGACACGGTCGCCGAGGTCGCGCGCGTGCACGTGACCCACGTGCGTTCCCCACGCTTGCGCGTGCACGTGAGTGGCACGCTACAGCAGCATCAACAATAACAACAACAGCAGCAACAACTATACGTCTCAAAATTTATTTTAGTTATCATAAATCCTCCTCCACCCGACACAGAGGTGCGATGGTAGATGGTGGTGTGTTTATAATGGCATGATGATGGTATGTTAGATGATGCTGTGATGTTAGATGTATGTTGAACTTATTTCGCAACGTATGTAGACACCAGTGCTTAACGGAGGTGTTTTTGCGATGGCATGATGGTTTCATGATGGTTTCATGATGGTTTCATGATGGTATGATGATGGCATGATAATGGTGTGGTGGTAATTGATGGTGTGATGATGATAATGATGATGATACGATGTTAAATGAAAGTGCGATCATGATGATGGTGGTGATGTGATGGTCGAAGCTGTGTTTTGTGATGGTGTCATAATAGTGCGATGTTCGATGATAGTGTCAAGATGATGATAGTGGTTTAATGCTAGAAGCTGTGTTTGTGATTGCCTGATAATGGTGCAGTGGTAGATGGTGTGATATCCCCCACAGGTGATGGAGGGGACCCTCGTGGGTCGCGATCTCATCTCCAAGCTCTGCTTCACGAACCCCGTGTGGAGGGAGCCGGCGTGCACGCGCTGGGCAACATACTTGTCGGGTATGGTGCCGTAGTCATAAATTCACGATCATAAGATCAAATATATAATAGACGATGTTTCGAGGAACTGCCCTTTTTCATAGCACACGTGTTATCGATTGAACCATACACATGTGCTATTATATAATTTTCCGTTTAAGACCAGGATGTTATTGACGATTGAGAGTTAAAATTTTTGCGTGCGTATGCACCACTGCTAATGCAATCTCACAATACTGCCCATGTGTTTAGTGACAATTATACCTGATGCTCATGCTGCTGTAGTGTTGTAAGGACGAGCAGATTTCTTAGGAGGCACACTCTGTTTATTGTATTATTTCCTTATACAATGCCTAACACACACAAAGGGATATACGGTCCCCTCACCCGATACCCTAGGAAGGTACAGCCTCCGGACTTCGCAGGACTCGCACGTTTACCGCTAACCTCGATATCTAAGGAGGTACAGCCTCCGGACTTGGCGGGACTCACACGTCTACCGCTAACCTCCTTGATACCTAAGGAGGTACAGCCTCCGGACTTAGCGGGACTCACACGTCTACCGCTATCCTAGTCCGCCGGCTAGGACCTAGGGGAGGCTATCTGACCCACCGCTGGCCCGGTGGGTCCTGACCACTGGGTATGCCGAGCCTTAGCCCTTAGAAGGGCTGGAAGGCTGGTCCAGGGTCCTCGCTAGGCTCCAGCCCAGTCTTCTGTCTTCGTGTAGGGAGAGAACTCCCCGAGGTCCGTTGGGTCACCTGTCTTATACTCCTTCGTGGCCAGGCAGAACCAATCATACATTCCCATGTGGAACCGTCTGATTGGTTCGTACCAAACCCTGGCTACGATCCGTTTCACCTCGACTGACCCCAACCGTTGTACCCTGGGGTAATGCTGCACTGCCCTGGTGGCAATGCAGGTTACGCAACAGCGCGTAGTTAACACCTCTACACTGCTGCTGATGATGATGATGATGACACGTACCCGTATGTGTCTCTCGCTTCACAATAGTGTAGCGGTGAGCCTGATTCGTTATGCACCCGCGACCCAGTTCTGGGCCTCCCCTAGGTCGATTCAGCCTCAAATGACTATCTTGGGCAATGTGTGCAAGCTTCAGCACTGGGGGTACAATAGGCGGCCAGGCATGGTGCAGCCCAGACCACCCACTCGTGTGCCTGTCCCGACCTTAACAGGTGCTCGCAGTACTTGCCCCAACAGTTTGCTGTAGGCTGTACAGGGGACCTTTGTCTTTGTCTGTCTCGGCGCAGCGACGTGGAGGGGCACGGCCGCGTGCGCGTGCCCGTGGTTCCCAAGCGCCACGCGGAGCTCACTCTGATCGCGAGCCTCGACTGCACGGAGCTGCCGCAGGTGCACGGGGGAGCCACGTTCCAGTGCGAGTCAACCACCATCATCAGCAGCGAGAGTGGTACCACCATGATCGTGTCGAGTGAACTATCATGAACGTGTTCATCATCATCATCATCAAGGTCGCACTCATTACACACAAAGTGCTTTACACAAATAAACCACAAATTCCTTCTTGATCTCGTCAAGGAGCGTAAACCATCACGAGAACTCCGGTCATCCTCGCAGTGGCTTTTGGATAGCCATCAAACAAAGACGGTCACTGCATTGCGCACTTTCAGATGCGCTTGTGTGGCCGTCTGGAGCACTCTTCCGATATTAGGAAGCCGCTGAAGCTATGCACTGTTAAATGTAGATTGAACAATCATTTATTTAGAAATGCGTTTTGTGTTTAGTTTGTTGTCCTTCCCCGCACCTCCGATTAGCGTGGTTGGCTACGCACGGTGCGAAAGAAGTTCAACGTACATGTCAACCACCACGATCGTGTTCATCATCATAAGATGATCATTATCAGAAGCATCAAATCGAATATGGACCAAAAACCGTCACGGGGTGTTGGGGGGGGGGGAGAATAATCATTACAGAGTCGAGTCCCGTCAGATTCACGTGACACCCCCCCCTGCCCCAAGCGATGTCATGGACAGACTTCAGGCGCGATAGCCGAGAACGCTACCGCCGTGACGTCACTGGACTGCGGGTACTAAAGAAGAAGGGGAATTACATCATTGATGTCGCCAGTGGCGTTTACTTAGCCACGCGTATCGCCATCGCTTCCTTCTTCCAGTTTCCGCATTTGTTGCAGACGACACCGCACCTCCGAGGTCTTTTGATGGTAACAGTCTGGCTCAAGGTCTTCCCATTGATCTTATTTTATATAGATTATATCGCGGCTTATTCCAAAGTCCTTTACAACAATTATAACATAAGATGATGGGTTCATCTTCTTTGGTTCTTTCGGTAAAGTCACGTAGAATGAAAATAAAATAAAATAACATAATAAAATTCTCACGACGTTTCGGCCACAACACAAGTGGCCTTCATCAGGTGTAGTTATGGTGATAGGACAGGTGTGAGTGGTTAAGGAGGGGTAGCTATAGGGGTGGATATAGGGGTTGGAGTAGTGATATGACTAGTGATATGGGTTGGGGTAATTTATTATTTTATATTATTGGTATCGTTCAGTTACGTTCACTTTGGCATGTAAGCTGAAGGATTTTTCTTCGTCTTCAGTAATTTTCAAGTTGACTTTACTAACCAGGGAACTGTTCCAATGCAACTATGAAGACCTCGCTCGTACTTGCCAGCATGATACCGAATTTAATAATAATACAGTAATGTATTGTGTTAATATAGATTTAAGTTTACTCATTCTGAAGTAGGCCATGCAGTCAAAATGTCAAGCCATTATCAGGGACGGAATAAAGTGATGTATTTACCCCTTTTAATTTACTCTAGTGTATGAGCAATTTGTTTTTGACACATGAACCTGAAATACAGTTCTAAAAAGTATAAAGAGTAGCACCTAACTCAAGTCACATACGGGACTTTACCGAAAGAACCAAAGAGTATGGATTACTGCAGTCATGAAAGCTTCAAATCAAGATTAGTAGCACCTAAGTCTACTGCTTATCGTGACGTACTACATTAATAGTAGTACTATAGACCCAAATAAAAACCAAGAGGCCATTTAGACAGGGGCTTTCTAAATAAGAAGCTAATTTTAAATAAGTACAACTTAAAGCTTTCGTGACTGCAGGAATTCATATTCTTTGGGTCTTTCGGTAAAGTCACGGAGATATAATTTTTTACAATAAAATAATAAAAATGCAAATAATGTTAATAAAAAATAATACAAAAATATCACGACGTTTCGATCGCAACACAAGCAATCGTCATCAGGAGGAAAAAAAACGTCGAAACGTTGTGATATTTTTATTATTTTTATTCACTTTTTTTGTATTATTTTATTGTTATTATTTTTCTATCTACGTGACTTTACCGAAAGACCCAAAGGATAGGGGTAGTGATAGGGGTAGTGATATGGGTAGGGGTAATGATAGGGGTAGTGATTCGGGGTTGGGGTAATGATAGGGGTAGTGATAGGGGTAATGATAGAGGTAGTGATAGGGGTTGGGGTAATGATAGGGGTAGTGATAGGGGTTGGGGTAATGATAGGGGTAATGATAGGGGTTGGGGTAGTGATAGTAATAGGGGTTGGGGTAGTGATAGTAATAGGGGTTGGGGTAGTGATAGGGGTTGTGGTAGTGATGGGGTAGTGATAGGGGTTGGGGTAGTGATTGGGGTTGGGGTAGTGATAGGGGTAGTGATAGGGGTTGGGGTAGTGATATGGGGGTGGGGGCTGGAAGTAGCAGCAGGAACATAACAAGAAGATTTTCTTTTTTAATTCGGAAAACAAACCTCCCCCCTCAATATTTCAAGAGCCGCAATGCACGTCAATACGAGAGGGTGGGTCCTAAATAAATCAACAAAGTTACAAAGCTGTCCCTAAAGAGTCGCATGCGACTCCAGAGCCGCAGGTTGCCAAGCCCTGGTCTCAGGAAAAGAGATGGGTTGTAGTGGAGGAGCAGAAGCAGGTGAAGATGATTGCTTCATGATTTCCCAACTTCTGGGTGCCACTCCAATGCCTGGCTCGGTAAATTACCCTCGTCCTCCACCCGTGTCCCGCCCATCTCAACCTCCTCCTGATCCTTCCCACACCACTTTCCTGCCACGTGCTATTCCCATCCTTCTAGTTGCTTACCCTATTCTCCTCCACTCTACGCATGTGTTCCATCCGCCACAGCATCAGTGCCCCTTCACAGTAACCACTTGTAATAGAGATGACTGCACATTATAAATCGCTGAGCATTAAAGCGACAGTAATTGAAGCTGTAAACAATTAATGTAATTATTTTCTCTGACGCTGGCCCCACCCATCACGGTAAATCACGAACAACTCCAAGCAGCAGAAACAACATTGTTCCATACAATTATCTTCCATGCAATTATAAACGATTATCTTAATTATAGGCGGTGGCGGAGCGGTTCGCGTGCTGCGCTACTAAACGTGTCGAGCTAAGCAGG